TTAACTTCGACAATTTTGCAAGAGCACTTCGGCTCCAATGGTTGTGCTTAGAATGGACCGAGGCCATCTATGGCTTGAGTGGGCTTGGGAATCCAGTGCAACGTCGAGGACATGAACCTTTTCTACAAGTGCACTACTGTTACTGCTCGAGATGGAAGCAAGACCAGATTTTGGCATACACCATGGCTCAATGGTGCAAAACTAAAGGATATCACCCCCTCAGATCGAGTTGTCCAAACTCAAGAATGATGGGATATGTAAGATTTACATCACCCGGGTTTATATCTGGCCATGGGCCGGGCCGGGCCGGGCTTGGGCCAGGCCTAAAAAATCCCATGGCAGAAAACTGAGGCCCAGGCCCTCCCAGGCCCTACCATCAGGCCTACTTTTCAAGCCCAAACCCGGCCCATCTGGTAAAAAGCCCTGAAAAGCCCTTAGGGCTTAGGGCCGTGGGCTGGGCCTCTTCCTTAAAATGTCAATATGCTAAGCCCAAGCCCGCCCAAGCCCTGCTGGTGGGCTCAAAACTCAGGCCCAAGCCCGACCCAGGGTCAAGCCCATTGGGCCTAGGCCCTGGATTTTAGGGCCGGGCCTGGGTGGGCCGACAGGGCTGGGCCTGAGATGGCCAGGACTACCCGGGTTCAACACAAGTCACCTAATGGAATTCTACTCCCTTTAGGGACTTTTCTGTGATGTGCACTTAAGCGAGAAGGCGTCTGATTCTATAACATCACATGTGATCCCTTCCAGAGTTTACTCCTCTGGTTCAATTATAAAAAAAAGTTAGACGATCCATTGCGATGCTCACATCGTGGGAAATTTCAAATGAGAGGAATGCTTGGGTATTTAGGTATATTTATACCTTGCCAACATCAAGCGGAAGGCTATGTGTTGGGAATCATCGGCGGTAAACATTTGAGATCGATCATGGCGTGATAGTAGTTCCTTATGTGTATTTCCACCCTCAGGCAGGCATTGTAATCCTAAATCGCCTTCTTAATCAATGAAATGAGGCAAAATCTGTTCCTCATGTTTAAAAAAACCATCTGCCTCCGCCCATGGCCTGTGCCCTTCACCACCAGGACGCTCCGCCTCGTTCATTGCTTCTGTCAGCGGCCTGTCGTCCACCTTAGTATGTTTACTTGCCACAAAAATGCCACCGCCGTAGAGGATCGCCACAACTAGAGGTCCACGAAGGTATTGCTATCCAACACCACTAAAAGTAGGACTAATGTTCTAACTCCAGTGCAAATATTCTTCCTCTACTTAAAATCAAATATAACTATCATCGCTGAAAGAATTCCTCTTTTCTTTCCATGTCCTCTCTCACTATGGTAGTTTATGCCTGCTAGGTGCTTGATGGAATTCCTAGACATGCATTTTTGAGGAAGGTATGACAAATAATCCAGGTGAAGTGATTAATTGATGATATTCACCTGATGTCCCTTCCCGGAGTAGATATAAGTTCTTTCTTAGCATGCTAGAGAAGAGATGACTCGTGATGGGAAAACCAACACACTCATAGAGTGACTCGTTACTGATGTTGGGGAAACCATTATGACTCCAAAAAAAATTCACATTTTCTTTTAAAAAATATGTGTGAGTTTTAAATTTGTTCATGTTTTTTTATAGATTTAGAAAAACGCTCATCAAATAAGAAACGGAAAACAAAAGGAAAGAGCCGAAGAGAACCAGGTTAAAAGGAAAAATACAAGAGAAAAAAACAAAAGGAGAAAAACAAGGATAGAAAAAGAATCAGGAATCTATGGAACTTGTGCGCACCCATTGTCGTAGTTGGGCCGGCCAACCCGGTCATCCATCCTGCTTGCACGTTGTAGGTTCTATCCTTCCCGACGAGCAAAGAATAGCATTTTTTTGGAATATACCTACTTGAAATATATAAACGTTTGCAAAGCAAAAATTTAGTATTGTAGGACAAGCCAACCCAATAGGGTGTATGCTTGAACTTTGAAATAGGCTATGGTGTAGCTCAGTAGCTCAAAACAAAAAGGTAAAAAAAAGATAAACCCAAGCACCCTGCTACCTTCGGCCATGTTGTCATCGTCGTCATTGTCGCGAATTTTGGTGTTGCTAATCTACCAGTTCTTAGTTTCTTTCGTACTCTCTCTGTCCAAAAAAAACTTGTCCCAAGTTTATCCCTTAAATGGATGTATTTAGGATTAACTTGATGCTAGATACATCCATTTGAGGGACAAGCTTTCTCGAACGAAGGGAGTACCTTTTTTCCTTCTGATTTTTGTTTTTCTTCTTTTTTTTTAAAAAATGAACATTTTCTAAAAAAATATGATTTTTTAAATAAATCCATTTTTTTAGAAAAGGAGGATGACCCCTGGCCTCTGCATCTGGTCGATGCATACGGCCACTTTATTAATTATTATCACAAAACCTTATAAAGTCATACAACAGCAAGATTAAAGTCACCGTTTAAGCAACATCTGTCGCTACACCTATCCAAATGATGAAGGGGCGCATATAGTCTGGGCCTAATACCAAACAGACATCGCAGCCAAACCTAAACATCTAAGACCTGAGGTCCCAACCAGGACGCCTGCCGGGTATGGGGCACCTACCAGTCCGGCGCACTCCTCAACCAGGACGCCTGCCGGGTATGATGCCGCCGCAGCCACCTGCCACAAATCCATCTTCAGAGTTGTACTATTGCATGTACTGTGCCAGGTCTTTCTGCCATCGACGCCACCACGACGCCCGACAGCGTCGTCCTCCTGCGCGAGTCCATCCTCCCACAGCGAACTCCGAATCTGCACTGCGCCACGCCGTCAAGATCTGTCGCCATCAATGTGTAGGATGAAGCACCGCTCCACCAAAGAACCCGTCCACTGGTCCCTCGATCACGTGTGTACCTCCAAAAATGACGCCCCCAAGGGAGGAACGACACCAGAGCGCCGCCGTCATCCGATCATCCGATTTAGGGTTCCCCCAGAGGTAGCAGAGAGTGGCCTTGAACTTCTCCACGGCGATGCCTTCAAGAAGGGAACGACGCAGATAGCGCCGCCACCGCCGGCCTTAGCAGAAGCCGAAGGCAAGTTTTCACCCAGATCAGTTCGAAGGAATCCAACTCTCGTGCACGGGCCGCCGTCACCACCAGCACCACCAGGCAGACCCTGGAGTACCGGCAATCAGCGAGCCACCGGCACCACCGCATCCAGATCGCCGGCCACGCCGGGCCGCCGCCATCCCCCACGCCGTCCGGTTCAGAGACGGAGCTGCCGACCACACATAGGGACCGCCGCCGCCTGCACATGCCGGAGCGCCGCCGAGATCCCAGCGCCCGCCACCGCTTGCCGAAGCCAACCGCCGCCCGAGCACTGGCGCCACCGTGGAGCCATCAGATCGGGGAGGGAGACGTCGCGCGCCGACCACCCTAGCGGACCCCGCCGCACGCCCGAGCGCCGGCGCCACCGCGACGCCATCAGATCGGGAGGAGGAAGAGCCCGCGCCTCGCCGCCCCGCGCAAACCACGCCGCTGCCATCACCGCAGCGCCACCAAAAGGGAGTCCCGCAGATCCACCGGCGACACGACCTGCCGCCGAGCCGAGTGCCGCCGCGAGGGCCGGCCGTCCCGCGCCGCCCAGGAGCCTCGCGAGGAGGGAGGAAGCCCCGCCGCCGCCGGCGCACGCGCGGGCTTTGCCCGGCGGCGTCCCCTGGCGGTGGCGAGGGAGAAGGAAGGCGAAGGAAGGGAGCGGCGGCGGCGATCTAGGGTTCCACCCGGGCCGCTCGCGGGAGCGGCACGGGGTGGATATTTTTAAATTTCAAGAACACTTTAAAAATTATGATCATTTAAAAAATCCAAAGAGAATTTTGAAACAATTCATGAAATCCTTTAAATATTTATTTACATATTTTTCAAAAAGAGAATATTTTTAATATTCATGAATATAATTTGAACTTCTTAAACATTTTCTGTGTTCATTCTTCTAAATTCGTGCCTTTTTAATCTATGAATTAGGAAACACGCGACACGTGTGTATGTTGCGAAGTCGTCGATGACATCACTTACAGAATCTGCACAGCGCGGGTGTGATTTGCATGGTGGATCAATGGTTGGCCGTCCGTCGCCCCGCAGCATGTTCTTGCGCTAGCTATACGTTACAGACAAAGTTTTCGAAAAACATAAAAAAATGGGCTAAAAAACTGGTTCCACTACAAAAACCGGCCGAAACCGGTTAGCTCCTGTGAGTGGAATAGAACGACTGGGCGAAGAATAGACGCGCCCGAACCACGCACGCTTGAACTTTGAAAGCCGTCGACCATCTGCCTGCCCTCTGCGCAGCCCAGTG